GTTCCGGCGCGTTATTCACCCCGTCAGGCATTTTCCTAATCTAGGATCGCGGAGATTTAACGCAAAATTTTCAAATTTACAGCCGCTTTCCCGCAAAAAAATGGCTAAATCAACAGACCGTATCGCAGTGAACATTAGTGTCTGTTTTTGCTGTCCTACGTGGCGGGAAAGATGAGCATAGCAAACATAGTGGAGGCAAACTGTTTTGCATGTTCTTCCCATGTCGTTGTGGGTTTTCTTCTGAGTACCGGTTTCCCCACAGAACAAAAGCATACTGCAGGTGTGCATGTGTGAGTTACTAGTGTGTGAGTGTGCCCTGCCATGGGTTGGCGCCCCATCCTGGACTGTCCCCTATCCCAGAATTGCAGAAGCGGTTACAGAAATACATTGTTTGCGTTCTGTAAAGTAGATCTATTGTTTGTATTCCGTTAAATTGAGGCATTATAAATATAGATTCAGATTTGTGCCAATATTAAGCCTAACAGTCAAAACTTTAACATCAGCCAAAGACAATAGAAAATAAAAATAACTGAAGCAAAGGAAAATGTCATCTCAAAAGTACAATTTATAACTTCCAAACATTTTTTACACACACACACACACACAAATATATATATATATATATATATATATATATATCATTTTTGTTTATAATTCCAGCTTTCTCGCCATTAACAGCGAAATCCCTTAGGGATTGGATATTATCGTGTGTAATAATGGACGGTTGCTCTCACTGTAAACATGACGTACGTACATCTCCAGATCTTGGCATGTGATTATGATCCTTACTTGGTGCTTGTGTGGTTAGGCGATTTGACAGCTCTAGATTGTCCATAGTGTGTGGTCATGTGCGCCTTGTGATAGACTGGCATTCCATGCAGTGTGTTCCCAGCCATTTGCCCTGTTCCTCTTAGGACAGACTGAGTTTATGGTGATCCTGCACTGGATTATTGCTTGGATGGAGGGATTAACCAATGACACTGAGGAACCCAAAACAAGAGAAATTCATAAAAGCCCCCACCTTATTGTAAATCTTTACTATAATGCTGTTTGGTTGTTAGAATCAACCTCAAACTACAATCTATAAATCTCTTGATATTACACAAAAGGAAATAACCATTTTAATTCCATAAAACAGTACAGGATAACACTACTCGTAAATAAGCAGAATGCAATACAGCCTTCACAAACACCAGGAAAATTACCAGACTACGCAGTCAATTTTCTTGATCTTTATTATGAATAAAATATTCTGGAAAAAAATAATTCCATTTGAGTATAAACAGTGGGATTGCAATCAAAAAATGACACGGATGTGGTCATCTCCATTACATAAGTATATTATATATCATCTGCAATCAATCATATCATCACAGTGAATTCATGTAAAACTTTTTTGAAACTATACATCTACAAAAGACTGATACACCTGGAGAAACTCAAGGCAAATGACTGAGGAAAATAGATTTTTTTCCAATATACTTTTTAAAAAACCTGCAACAGCAAATAAATAAGAGAAAGGGGAAGGTGGAGAATTCCCAACACTCATCATCCTCCTGAACCCTGTGCAGGATGCCAGAAGCTTCCGCATGCACTCATATCAATCTTAAAAAAATATATTTTAAGTCTATTCCCCTTCTGATGATGCTATACAATCACACACAAACAGCAAATGATGTCCTTCTTTACAGCGCGGATGTATTAATGAAATCATTTTACAGCTTAAAACGGACGTCAACTATTAATCCTACGTAGTTAACATAAAATTTTAATTTAAAAAAAAAGGCAATTATCCAAAAATGGCAGCTGGAGCACACAGCTACAATGCTGATGGGTCTCGACACTGACAGATGGCTTTTCTTTCTGAAGGGTATAAAAAAATATATATATTTTAGCTTAAAAGAATGAGATGGCTATGAAACTGATTGCATACATCCTATCTGACCAATAAACTTAATTTGCCTCATTGCTACTTTTGTTGATCCTATTTGAAAAAATTTTACTCGCATCAACACAACTTAGGGAACCCTAACCCTTATTTTCAAAAGCAACAAACTCAGATTACATACAGAATGAAGTCCTTTCCTTGGTCACTGTGGGACAGATTCTGTATTTCCATAGCCCCCTTTTGATTTCATTTGGTTCTGTAGAGAATCCACCTTTAAAAAAAGAATCCTTAAGTTCAGATGCAGAAAATGATATCAACTATAGTTCATTAGAAACGTTTTGGTGTCTATAAATCAACATAAAAATGAAACACTAAATTTTTAGTGCATTTAATGCTCAATAATGAGCCTGTTACCGGTAACCTTAAGGCTTCAAACTGCATCCCAAAGTCACATGTATTATGTTAAAGATTGTTAATGATTCATTACATATTTATGTAGGTATTTATTCATACTTACTGCTGACAGTCCTAAGCCCATATCCCCAGAGCCCACGTGTGTGGTGTGGACAAAGTTCGTGGGCTCCCCAATCATGGACCGGTCTATCCGCCGTCGCCTCTTCTGCAAAAGGATGGAATGAATGCATTTGGGAGGAGAGTACCATGCAACAAGGGACGGTGAAAGGACAGCGGCAAATAAGCCCGCAGAAGTGAAAATGAAACGTTTAAACAGACAGGGAGGAATGCGGAGTATCGTGGGTTACACGCCTTGCTGAAGGCAGCTCAGAGAGTAATAGGACCCTCCCTACAATCCCAAATGCACAGCCTCGAGCCTGTCTGCACCTGGCCCTCACCGGCTGCGGCTGCTCTGCGACACAGCAGCTGAAGCAGATCCAGAACTCCGTCATGCCGACTCCGCTGCCGCCTGGGACGGCTGCAACAACTTCGCTCTAGGTGGGAAGAGCGATCTCGCAATGCCTGACTGGGTCAGCAGTCGAGTGAGTCAAGCTACTGCGTCCTTTCTGACCTGGAACAGGAAGTCATGATGTGAGAAGCTTTCAGGTTCAGATACCCAACTCAGGAATTCCTGTGCTGTTCCAAACACAAAAACAACAACCCAAGCAGAAGCTGAAGTCTGCTTCTTCTTTCATAACAGCACACATGGGTGGGGGGGGGGGGGGGGGGGGGTGTGCTCAGCAAGGAAAGGAGAGCCTCAGAGCTGCACCAACCAACTTTAGCTGCCTTCCTGCAACATCCTCAGTCTTCCTGAGTAAATCCTTCCCACACAAAAAAAAAACATGACTGAGAGGGCATTCGAAAATTTGCATGGAAAACTAAACAGAAGTAAATCAGGCTGATATTGTGGATTGTGTCATTCAACAGTTCCAGTCATCATGCTATGACAAAGCAATTCAGGACTCAGACCAGAATGTAAAAAGGCGGATTACAGATAAAGTAATTTGGAGTCCAGATCAGGTCTGACAAGAGTATCACAGATGATCACTGGTATTGCATTATATTCAAACTTACTTACAGTTTACAGTCCAGCTAGTTGCATCACTAAAGAAGTAGTATTGTTACATTACAGGGGGGCACATCTGGACGGCTGAACCACTTTTAATTTTGCTGACAAAAACTATTGATAAAAAAGTCAATAATAAAATACTAATTTAATAAATGATGCCGAAAATTGTCAAATGTACTGACACTTCAACCTATGAAAATGAGGCTAAACCATCAGGACGCAACAAGATTAAATGGGATCCAATCAGCAGCAGCATCTTTAGTCAGTGTCTATCACAGTTGCCCATGATTGGAAAACTTTGCTGTAAAAGGCTTCAAGCGAGTAAACCACGCATTCAACTGACAAGTAGAAACTATGCAGTTTTGTCTGTGAAATCTGTCTTGAAACTTTATGTCTGTCCTTTACAACAGTAATATCTGGTTCTTTAAAGGTCGCATGTTCAAACTTAATGCCATGCTATAATGTCAGCTTTACAGATGTTTCCTTCAGGAATCTATAGAGAGGATTGAGGCAGACCAATCTCTGTCTGTGTGTGCATGCCTGTGGTGTGTGTGTGTGTTTGTGTTGGGGGGGCATGAAAATCGTCTTCAGGGGGTCCTGGCATAAAAAGTTTGGCAACCACTGGGTCACATTCTTTTCTCAGGGCTAAAGCAGCAGGTTTCTTCAGTGAGTGTGACTCTGACCTTCTGAAAAACCATCGGCGGACATATAGCCACCCACTCTCACCAAAGGCAGATAAAGCAAATGTATCTCTCAAAAGGAAGAACTATTTATAGCGAAAATATTCCCTCTTGGAATGCAATCATTAAAAATAAAGCTCTCCCCTCCCTCCTCCGAGACGTGTGTGTATTTTCCAACATCTGTCAGCCTAATATTAAAATGCACAGACTGCGCCAAGGATACAAAGACGTTTACCTGTGGGCTGTGTACACAGCAGAGTGTGGGGCGTGGCTAACAGAACTGATGTACTTTAGGAGAGCTGTGATGCTAAAAGACAAAGATACATTTAAAACTTTAAGTTTACATTTAATAACTCTAAGTTTTGTTTACTGCCATTGAGATTTCACTCCTCACGATCTTCAGAAAACAGAAATGTTAAATGGTTCTGACAGGATTTTAGCAAGTCAGTACTCATTTTACATGTCAGTGTAGCCTGCCCAGTTACCCCATCCCCCAAAAAATGCTTCTAAATACACACAATGAATATTCATTCGGCTTTAAAAGGAAGTGAAACTTAGCGACATTTATTTCGCTGACCTAAACATACAGAGGAAGAAGCTGTGCTGTCCACAATTCGCCTCGGGTCCGTCCGTCTGTCTGCCTGCCGGGAATCTAGGCCCTGGCTATTTAATAGTGAGCTCATACTGTACATACACATGCGTGAAAATCCAAGCACAGACAAGCATTTGCAATGAAAATCGACTGTGGGTGTGTGTGTCTGTATGGGGGGGGGGTCTGTTCAACCTCTCCACCAGAAGATGAGGAACATAAGGATGAAAATGATAACAGGTTCTGCTCTGAAGGCCTTTCGCAAATACGTCATCTTACACCACCAAAAAAAAAAAAAAGTGGACTGTAACACATGGCTGGGGATGAGCAGACATACAGAATACAAGCCGAGCTATCGGAATTTAAAGAAGACATTTATAAAGGTTCTAGCGCTGCTTTGTGATGATACACAACATGTCTGAGGTCTCTCTGTGGTCAGTCTTGTTTCAGTAAGATGCTGCAAGCACATTTTGAGAACAGGAAGTGTACGCCACAGACATTTCGCTTGCGCAATGCACCACCTTCAAACTACCTTTGCCAAAAATGGGAAATGCTCAGAGATACAGGCAGAAACGTTTTCGGTTCAGTTTGACGACACCAAGATAATCAATATTATCTCTAAAGCCGTAATACGCTTAAAACTTGTGATGGTTCAGGTTTAAAGTTATGATCTGTAATTAGTTCTATAATTGCCCTACAATAACCGCTAATTAAAGCTTTTTAAATAACAAACAAATAAAAAAGATCTCTAACATATTAAATGGAAACGCTATTTAATCTTCTGTAAAAGCGTAAGTGAAACATGATGGGTTTCTCCCCAGAATGGCTACCAGGGTATTTTATTCAACCGAGAGAGTGTAAAGTTACCTCTATTATAAAGGCTCTTCCGTATCTATCATCCCACCAGCACAATCAACAGGTTGGATCAACAGGAAAAAGAAAAGCTTTAAAATCCAGCGAATACATTTAAGTTAAATGTATCATCATCTCCGGACCATTAATTTATTTTATGATTGTTACGTATATACTTATCCTGACATACAGATCTCAACGGGCAAAACACTTGCACTACGCACCATATCAGCACCTCGGGGTTCAACTGATGAATCTAGTAGCAGATAAACAGAACGTTTGGTGCTAATATTTTTTTAAAGCAACGAAATCCTGCAAATACATTTGTGAAAAACGAATAAAAACCATTATTAACCGGGATCATAAAAAGTAGAAATGATCAAAACGCACGTCTGTGTCCGCCCTTAATAAGGGCGTTGGGTTTTGTTTGATAATGTAGATATCTAGTTGTATTGCAGTTAATGTCTAACTGCAGCCTTCAACAGCCTTGCTTTAGTCCAACTGCTTGTTCAATTAAATATTTTATTGCTATCATTTTCAATCACGTCTGCATGCAGCACTTAATTTTAAGAGTTTTCATGTGACAATAAAATGCCTTGTAACGAAAATGTAACCCTGAAGAATTAAACTTAAATCGATACTTTGAAACAAGAAGGAGGGACGCCGCCTGGCGCTAGCGAGCTAGCCACCTGCTAAGACCCGGAATCCGACCGAAATCGGCTACGGTCCATCTTCAAGAACACGCCTGCATTTCACCGTAAAAAACTACTAACATATACACTGAAGTGACACGACGCAAAATGCACATCATTTGCAAAATAATCAGCACACTTTTAAATGCCTAAAAGCGCTTGATTCGGATGCCAGCCCGGTACCTACCTGCTAACTTCCCCGAAGCTGTGTCGGAAGCGCAGACGCTCCTCCTCCCGTCACTCAGTGACGAGCGCGGCTCCGGTCGCTCGATCTCCTCGGACCGGCGGCCGCTCGGGGTCCGCTACTGGGGATCGGAACTGGTTTGGAGACTTACTATGGGTCACGCCATTCCCTTCAGCTTCACAAATTTTATCTCTGGGAATGATTAAATTTAGAATAGCTGAAATTACATTCGGTTATGGTCGTATATGCTTTGCTTTTTGTATCAAGTATAACATACAGCGACGTTAGATACACAAATTTGTGTTTATACAGAAGAACGTTTACTGTGAATTGTTCATGCAAATATCAAATTTACCAGAAAGTTCCCCACCCCATGGCCTGTGGCAATAATATAGATTGTGAAATGTATTATTAACGTCTTGTTCCGCAGGGCCGTGCTTGGGACGGGGGGCCTGAGCACCTCCTCCTTTTGTCCGAATAATTGAAAGTCCATCCCTTTTCAGATAGGCCTACTGGCAATGTTTTGCCGAGGGGAATCCTCGAAAAGTCCCCGCTCGGCCTGGCTGTTCCGTAAAACTGCCGTGACCCTAACCAGAGCGAGCGAAGCAAAATGGATGGAAGTTCTCCTAAATAATATTTTTTCTTACATTTATTCCCTAAAATTTCTCGTTTTCAGATTCGTCTACATATGCTTATTTACCTAGGCAAATACCCCAGACTAAATCCAATATTTCTATTATTTAATGAGAAGCATGTTTAGATCTCTCACTTAACATAATTGGTTGATTGGTTGGTAGTAACTGTTAGGTGCACTGTCCACTAGGTGGAAGTATTTCACTCTGATCAAAACTATGGACCTTGCAGTTCAGTATAGTACAACACCAAGAATTTGATGCATCTCCTCTCTAAATTACAGATCATAGTCTGGCCCTCAGAAAACTTATATATGCTGGTTTTTGTTCCAGGTGAACATTTAATTTGGCATAATTTAGCAGCTGCTTACTATAATGATAATATATATTATATGTTACAGAAATACACAGATTATCCATAACATTAAAACCAAAAGTCTATTATTGTGTAGGTCCCCCTCGTGCCGCCATAACAGCTCTGACACATCCAGCATGACGATACAAGATCTCTGAAGGTGTCCTCTGGTACCTGGCACCCAGACGATAGCAGCAGATCCTTTATGTCCTGTAAGTTGTGAGGTGGGGCCTCCATGGATCGGACTTGTTTGTCCAGCACATCCCACAGATGCACAGATCGGATTATGATCTGGATAATTTGGGGGCCAAGTCAACACCTCGAACTGTTTTTCATGTTCCTCAAACCATTCCTGAACAATTTTTGCAGTGTGGCGGGGACAATTGTCCTGCTTTGTATAAATTTATTACAAATTAATTACTTATATAAATTTATTACACTACATTATATACATTTAACGCGGATGTCAGAGTCCCTAATGTCTGGACCGCGTGTGGTTGCTCTCTGTGCCTGACGTTTAATCCCATGCAAAATGTTTTGTAAGGTGTCTGTAAAAACGTGAGTCTCGGAAATTTGACAAGGATTGGAGAAATTCACATACATGTATGCATTATACATATATTGGTAGTTGAACTCCAGTTACTTTGGTTAGCATTGCTTTATTTTCTGCAGAAGGTCCTTAAATTAAAAGCACATTGACTGTACTTCTACAGCACAGTTTTTAATACTGTCGCGATCTAAATCTCATTCTCGGCGAAGACGAGTAGATGTTGGGCGGAGTCCTGGGGCACTGAGTTTAACAGAATGGATGAGAATGAGGTCCGCTTTTGTGATTGGCCATGTCCCTGAAATACGCCCCCGTAGACAGTCTCTCCAGCCAATCAGGCGAGACGTGTAGTGCGGAGAGAGCGCATGGGCGGCGTGCGGGTTCTCTTTCGGAGGACAACGGCGGCAGGGTGATATCGTCCCAATTCGCAAGAAGCGGCGCCATGGAGGAATCGAGTAGTTGACGTTTCTTTTAACCTTCTCTTCTTTGTTTATTTACGTCTGATCATCGCGCTTTCGGCGGGCTTTCGCCTCTCTGGGTTTATCGACATATTCGGGATTTCCGGCCGTGAACATGAAGTACATTGTGGGAATCGGAGGGTAAGTATCCGGAGGAAGCAGCACGTGGTGCTGGCCGAAAATATCCATCACTTTACTTCGGCTACAAAACTGCTTTAAACTGAGCTGACTGAGCTCATAAGTTCGAAATTAATTATTGTCGGTATGCATATGGTTTTGTCTGCAGGTGTGTAAATGTGTATTGCACGTTAAATAGGAGTCCAAAAAAGGTACTGGCGGACTAAAGATAGCTGCCGGTCTAACTTTAGGTTGGTGCTGTTTTTTTTGGTTGGGCTCAATCTTTATGGCTAAATACAGTAATGAGGGTTAGATTCGTTTCCGTAGGAGACCAGGCGTTGATCAGAAATCTTGTATGTGGTGGTTTGTGCCTCTGATGGTGGGCCCGCTTGTTTCCCGTCCCGTCTTTGTGCTTATGGCCGCTTTCTGTTTCATGGGGCAGCGCCCATATGTTTGCCCTCATGCTGTCACCCTGATTCGCTGTTCCTCCTTCTCAGTGTGACCAACGGCGGCAAAACAACTTTAACGAACAGGTTGATCAAGAATTTGCCAAACTGCTGCGTGGTGCACCAGGATGACTTCTTCAAGGTGAGCTGGGCTTTGATTGTTCTCGCACCGTAGGAAGCGTGACTAAATTATCCGCTTAACCGGCTAATCGTTCGTGGTACGTTAAAAAAAATAAGGAAACAGGAGAACCGTAGGATCTAAATGGTCACTCTTCTCTTAGAAATTTATGCACGATGCACATGTGTTTCGGCACGTGTTTGCCTCGGCCGACGTGCTGCTCGCGTGCGTTGAGCGCGTCCGGTACGCGGTTAAACGGAAAAATAAGGAGCGCAACTAGTTCAGCTGCAGCTTGGCCAGAAACTACCCGATGGCACGTAATGTGTGCTCTACACAAGTGTCTCATGCGTGTATGTTTCAGCCCCAAGATCAGATTGAAGTTGGCGAGGATGGCTTTAAGCGGTATGATGGTAAGCAGGGATCTTCTTAAAAGGTCTTTGTGTTGTGACATGCTGTGCATGCCTGATGGAAGGATGCACATCTTCCCTTTTTTCGTCTCCAACCTTTTCCTGTCTTCTCCCCCTCTCCCTGCCTCTGTGTCCCATCTTCCCGATGCTTATAGTCATTACTGCTTTGGACATGGAAGCCATGATGAGCACCATCAACGCCTGGAAGGAAAACCCAGTGAAGTTTGAGAGATCGCACGGCATCAACAACACCCTGGATGCGGAGATGGTCTTGGAGTCAGAACACGGAGAGGATGATGTTCATATCCTCATCGTGGAAGGCTTTCTGCTTTACACCTACAGGTAAAAAAAGTTTACAATGGCTGGTAAAGGAGCGTTGTTTTTAGACGGTCCCTACATATATAAACACTTGGCAGGCCACACCCACAATCCTTCCAGTTCTGCATATTTCTTAGGGTGTCCAGAGGGACCAATGTTCTTCTTCCAGAAATGAGAAGTAATTTCAAACACAAATAATTTCTAGTACTGTCATGGAATTCAGATGTGGGGAAGTGCAAAGTGTCCCCACTGCTATAGCAGTCATTACGTTTGCCAGGTTAAATTCCACTAAGCGGCTGAATCTGTGTGCTTAAGCCACACTAACATTTGCATTACAAAGTGCTCAGTGCACAAGTGTGCAGAGGATTTACTCACAAGTTCCTGTAATTATGCCCTGCAGACCTTTGATCGACGTATTTGACCAGCGTTACTTCATTTCTATACCATATGAAGAATGCAAGAGGAGGAGGTGGTAAGTTCCTGTTTGGTGGCAGCTGCTGTTTTTGGGGTCGGATGAGCTTTGGGTTTAAACTGAACAGAAGGTTTTTTTTTGTCTGTCAGCTATTTCATTAACTTAAAGCACTTGTTGGGTTTGTAAAACCGATGCCAAGCCACCATCCTCTGTTGCATCCTGCAGCTCAAGGAACTACACTGTTCCAGATCCACCGGGTCTGTTTGACGGACACGTCTGGCCCATGTACATTAAACACCATGAGATCATGGAGGAGACCGGAGTTGATGTTGGTAGGTGTTTTGCATTGTCCCATGCGCAGACCTGTTCTCCATATGCCACTTTGAGACGCTGACTGGAACGTCCTTGTCATTTTTCAGAGCGACTGGATGGGACGTGGACAAAGGAGCAGCTGTATAATTCTGTCTATGAAGACATCCTGAACAACATCCAGAAGCTGCTGTAGTGAAGGTGGGTGGGATTGGTCTTCCTGAGAGATGCACGGGTCCGTTTATAGCAGGGCTCCCCAATTCCGGTCCTGGAGGGCCAGTCTGCTACACAGTTTGCCAATTTCCCTGCTCAGACACACCTACTAAACCTAGTAATTGGCCGGTTAGGTGGAAGAGGTGTTGACCCCAAACTATGTCACAGACTGGCCCTCCAGGACCGGAATTGGGGAACCCTGGTTTATTGGCACAGTGGAGGATTGTGATCTCGGCCCCTGGGTCTCAGCCCTGGTCCTAATGAGCTGCAGCTACTCCTAGACTCTGACTACTGAATTGGCTAAACTGGTGATGTTAAGTGACCAGCTTGCTGTTACGCTCAACTAGTATAGACTGGTTCACCAGGACCGATAGATTCTAACCTTTCCCCCTTCACATGTGTGGTCTTGTATCCTCCAAATTCTTAGAAAGTAGTATTACAGGGAAAGCTTGAGTAGTGAATGCTTGAGCAGGTTTGTCAACTCTCACTTTCCTCCTCCCAGGAATGTTCACGGAGCCCAGCTTTGCCCTGATGACACCTGAAGCGCTGCCCAATTCAGCATGGATTTTAACCATTAATATTTATTGCTGCATTTTCAGTCTCTGCTCTAGAGTGAAGATTGTTATGGCTTGATGCACATGTCAATAAAAGGTGCTCCCCATGTTTACCGTGGTGGGTCTGTCATTCCTCATAAATTACTTGTATGAGCCTGTAGTTAAGATGTGAGGTCATCTGTTCTAGTGACATTTTTCCAGGAAGCGTGCTTGCACTCTCATAGCCCATCCCTGTAGGGGGTTGTGTCTGGTGACTGCAGTTGTTCAGTTAGAGTTTCATAGTGAGTAAGAGTCTCAGAGCCAGTGCCTTATCTGTTGCCCAGGCAACGCTTGGCACAAGGTGATAGTGAGCGTTCCTCGTGACACTGGTATGTACCTCACAGCTTTTGCTGCAGATAAAGGCGTGGTGTGACTTACATAATTTGTTTAGCAGAATTTAGGTCATTTTTATAGCCACACCCACTTTTTAAGTTCACAGAAGGTACAGAAGGTACTGACCTCAGACTACTGATATCCCTGAAATAACCAAAGACAAGCAGACTTTTAGTAATAAGCTTTTTAATACGGGTAAGTTGGTTTCATTCCATGAAGTAAGATCAGGGTCTTAGTTAAAAAAAAAAAGCAAAGTCATGTTCCGCATACTGAGTTCTACTTCATGCCCAGGTGCATGATCTTCCTGTACGGTCCTGGCCCCCCCCACAGGCCCCTGAAAAGGTACAAAGGTTAGAAATGAGGGCCCCTGTACATGGCCCATTAAAAGCTACAGGGCTGATTTAAAAGAATAATTGCATATATATACAGTATATAGTTATTCTTTGACTTCCTATCAAGTCCAACGTTACTTATAACCCTTTATAGCAAAAACAAAATTCATCAAGAGACGTCCCAGATGTAGTGGACAGTTAGAGGACATATTTTCCATGTGCGCCACGGCGAGTACCCAGAACCAAATGCATCGCCACTATAGAGGTTTAGTTAAATTGATTAACTTCATTGATTAATTTGATTAACCAATGCTATTGGAGGAGTCAACAAATACATGGTTATGTTGGACAGTCGCTGCAAATACTAGGGGTGACCTTCAGAGAAGTTTTGAAATGACTAAGCTAACTTTGTCATAAAATCATACTTTTAAAGCAACATGAAAGTAATTTAAACAATTTTATTTAGCAGCCTAAGACTTTCACAGAACTGTATATATATATATATATATATATATATATACACTCACCTAAAGGATTATTAGGAACACCATACTAA